GGGGAGTGATTTGGGTATTTGTGGAATAAAACGTAAAATTATATAATCCATAGTGGGAAGTCAACATATAATACCTAAAATGAAAAAAATCAAGAGGTAGCAATATCAGATGTTTAGAGATATGGAGATAAATAGAAGAATCTACCAAAAAAAAGTTTCAAAAGTGTTTCCCCCTAGAGAGGGGAAATAGTCACCTTGTCCAACATTACACCCTTCCAGAGGCCTGAGCAAGGTAAGGGAATAAAGGCCCAAGCATTTTGGTCCATCGTGACGCCAACTCGGATAGGCAATAATCTGGAGAAACAAATTTGCAATAAATAAGCATGAGCTGCCCTGTCCAGTTGGCTCAGGTGGTTGGAGCGTCATCCCATAAATGGAAAGGTTGCAGCTTTGATTCCCAGGTCAGGGCACATACATAGGTTGCGGGTTCAATCTCTCATCTGGGGAGGTACGGGAGGCAACGAACGGGTTGATGTTTTTCTTTCACACTGACGTTTCTCTCTCTCTCTTCCTCTCGTTAAAATAATAAACATATCCTCAGGTAGGATTAAAAAATATATATATAAAAATAGGTATAAATTGTTTTAAATAATAAGCCATGTAGAAGTAGTTGATACTTCAAGCATGTATTCTTTTACACTTGAAATTGTTAACTTAAAAAAAAACCAAAAAAACTGTGTGAAAATATTTTCTAAATTTTAAATTACTTTGGCTCCTTACACTGTAGAAGCCAATTCAATTTTTAAAATTTTGAACTAATGCAAGACTTAGGTAAAAACACCCAATTTTGGCTAAAAGCAGAAAGATCTTGATATCAATTTCAAAATTTAAAAACAAAAGAAAGAGGGTTTTATTTATGGTAAAGATCAGATCAATCCTGCTGAAGTCAACAAAAAACCCTTCACAATAAAAATCAAAGATATAAGGCACTATGAAATACATGACAAAATCTAGAAGGTAAATCAGGGAAATAAACCACACACAATCACTTTTTCCTGAGGCCTTTTGCCAATCCAGAACAAAAGGCTGAGAAACAAAAAGACTGATCTACTGGTGGCTTTACTGAGCATGGAGGAAAAAACAAAGCACAGGACCCACCAAACCTCAGGACTCAAATAAACCATCACCCAATTTAAGTTGAGATCTTAAGGGCAGCATTATCAGTATAGGGAGAACTGGAAGTAAAACAAAACCCCTATGACTTGAAAGTTTTAATGTCATGTGTATAACAAAAGGAATCCCAAATTTTGAACATGAACTGATTTGGGACTGGTATCAGCCCTAAGCATCTTTCCTGGAGAAACATGCCTTCTTGACAAAGATACCATTATCCTAGTACTTATTTACTATTCCTATAATTTTTCAAATACAAAAACCAGCACACAGGCACACAAGAAAAAAAACCCATAAACCAGCAAAATCAAAATTCAGAAACTGTAATTAGCATGAAAATTCAGAAACTGTAATTATCAGTCACAGACAAAAGAAATCAACTAAGAATCCTATGCCAATAAAAGTCACAACTGTAATTTTTAACAAGTAGGAAGAAAAAGTAAGAATGAATATAGGTGATATATTTCTTTAAATCTGATCCATAGAATTAAGAATCCCAGTGTATTCAAAACAGGAAAAACAATTCCACACAAAAACTCATGAAGAAATAGCCGAAAATCTAAGACAAAATAAATATTATTAAAAGCAGATTTCTTTCAAAGCGGCAAGATTTAGATTGACAGCTAACTTCCAAAATCGGTAATGGAAGCCAAACAGCAGTGGAATATCATCTTCGTGGTGGTGACAAAAACAACCATAATCTTACAATTTAATAACCCCAGAAACATTCTTCAAAATTGGAAATGAAACAAAGAGACTGTAAGATGAACAAAAAATTAAGAGCACTGGCCATGAGCACATCTGCATCTAAATAATGTGCTCAAAAATAGGAAAAGGATCCCCAAAGAAAATTCAGATATTACAAGAAATAAAGAACACTGAAAGTGTATAAATATATAGGAATATGTAAGTCAACGTTGACGGTAGAGAACTGTGCTGTCCAAATGGGAACATACCACCTATATATGTTATTTAAACTTTTCTAGTATCCACATTTAAAAAATAAAACAAGGTGAAATTAATTTATTAGAATTTCAACATGGAGTCATAGTAAGAAGTTGAATTTACACTGCTTTTATACTTAGAAATCTGGTGTCTATTTGATGTTTACAGAACATGACAATTCAGATGGTATACTGTCATCAGTAATATTTGATCTTTATAAGGTTTACAACTGAGAAAGTAAATTTACATATCTAAGTTGTTCTAAACATACTCAAGGGTTTTTCAACAACTGAATCAAGTACCATTTTTCAAATTTAAGTTAACACAACATAAAACCAAAAATTTGGTTCCTCATCCACGTGCCACATTTTTAACTGTTCAACAGAAGCACGCAGCTGTGGATATCGTATTAGACAACACAAGTATACCACCTTTTTTACTGGAGTTAAAATTACTAATAAAATTAAAATATCAACAATAATAGCATATAAGCCAGTAAAAAACAAAATGGAGATAAAAGTTATCCAGGAAGTGAGAAATGTTCCAAACACACAAGAGATATATGTAACACTGCTCAAACATAATAAACTGCAAAAGACTTAAAATGATTATTCACATAACCAATAAATTTTTGAAAAAATGTTTAGCCTCATTAATAACCAGAGATCTGCAAATTAAAACAATAATATACAGCTACATTCATCAGTTTGGCAAAAAACAAAAAATACCAACTGCTGGTGAGACTGTAGAGAAGAGGGATCTATCATATACTGCTGGTGAGAGCATAAATTAATATATCACTTTGGAAAAGTTGGACATAATCCACACTCTACCAAACTGCACGCTATCTGCATAAAAATACATGTTTAAGAACATGCATAGTAGCACTTTTCATAATTGCTAAAAACTGGAGACAAGCCAAATGTCCAGTAATATTAGATACGTTAATTGTGGCTTATTCATTAAAAGACTGCCCACACTAGCCCTGTCCCGCATGGCCGAATGGTTAGAGCATCGGCCAGATCACCAAAGGGTCTCAGGTTCAATTCCCAGTCAAGGGCACGTACATGGGTTACAGGTTCCATCCCGGGGTGTGTGGAGGAGGCAACCAATCGATGTGTCTCTCTCACATCCATGGTTCTCTCTCTTTCCCTCCCTCTCCCCTTCCACTCTTGAAAAATAACCCACACAAAAAATCAGTGGAAAAAAATATCCTCGGGTGAGGATTAAAAACAAACTAACCGTACTATACATACTGTACTATAGACATTACTATACAGCAATGAAAATATACAAACTAAAGCTGAAGATAAATGTACTAACAGGGTTATATATATATATATATGAAAAACATGAGAGAAAATAACAATACATAATATGTAACTCATTTACATATTGGCAAAACTGACTTATATTATTTAGGAATGCTGGCATTGATAGTTAAAAAATAGTTGAAATAAAAGTAGGAAATAATTACCATAAAATCCAAATAGTGTTAACCTCTAAGAGTGGTGAGGAGGGAGGAATGATCAGTAATAGATGGGAGTAGGAGCATGTCTCCAGGGCCAGCAATGTTCTTCTAGTTCTTGACTTTGGTAATGATTACAGAGTGTTCACTGCATTCATTATACTGCGTATCTATGATTTGTTCACTTTTTCGTATATTTATTATTTTATTACACAAAAAGATTTTAAAATTGTTATCTAAGGCACTTTAATTGCTTTGCTATGTATTTTTCTGTTATAAAGTGATAAACATTTGGTTTTACTATATACAAAATTTTAAGGTACAAGACTCTAGTTTTTATTTCATTTGACAAGATTACTGCACACACAGAAAGTAATAAGCACTAGGACACGATGCATAAACAGGGTCCCCTGCTAAAACAAAACGAAGCAAATAAGTATTACCTTCAATTGATAGTTTACCCTAAAGAACCCATTACAGAATTAGGTAATACCAACACAAATAAGAGAAATTTTAGATTCTCAGTCTTAATAGAAACCATATATGGGTGATAATCTTTCAAAGTACCTTTACAAAAGACGATTACTGACTGAAATGATTTTAGTTAAAATGAAGAGAATATGAAAAAGAAACAGTGCTATTTTACTTTAAAAAGTTTTACTAATGGAAATTCATGAATTTCTTCTTAAATATTTCCAATTAATTCTCATGAGGGAAACACTTCCAGCAAAAATGGGTAGAATTTAATTGAGAAACCAAAGGCTCTAAATCCGGGGCTAGTAACAAAAAAACACACCTTATCATACCCATTTAAAAATCTCTCATCTACACCATAGAAAGGGAAAACTTTTGGTATGTCCCTTCTCCATCAACAGCTAACAGTATCAAGGGCTACACAATCCCCCACCCCTTTCTGAGAACAGGCACAGGCGTAGTTGCAGTAACAACGCAAAACACGGAGGGAAAGTCCACCAAGACTCTCCAGCTTGCTCCATCCCCAAAGTCACTCCAGAATTCCAGGGAGGGCAGCGAAGTAACATAAGCATCGCGTCTAGTCCTAGTTGTCAGAATTCACACAAGGAGCTTGTCTCTCCCTGGACCGGTTCCCTGCTCTGAGCAGAAGCAGCAGTCACCACAGACATCTGCAGAGGCTCCAGATGCCGCTTCTCTCTTTACGCCAGGACCTCACCACCACCGTACGTAGCCGCCACCCCGCCACAGACTAGTCTCGTTACGACTCCCTGCGCTCGTCCGGGAACGGTCGGCAGGCTGACAGGGAGGCCATGAGGCAGGAGGAGCCCGCCTGGCTCCTGGCCTGCCTGGCCTAGACAAGCCTGCCCCCCTTCCCGCATTTCCAGTCTCCAAGAGCCTTCCGTCCTCCCCCTTTTGATTGCTTTTCGCCACTGGCGCCCCTGGTCTTCATCCTGAGGCCAGTCTAGCCCATGTTACCTCTCACAGACAAGCCTGCCCTTACCCGGGCAGAGCGGGGATCTAGCAACCGCGGGAACCGCTGCTCAACGGGCTCGCCTTGCAGCTTACTCCAACTAGCTTCACCTGGTTCTGCCAACGGTGCACCACTACTCCCGGCATGCCCCGCGCACGCAGCCCCTCTCCCACCCCGCCCCAACACGTGACCTTCTTTTGCCTCCGTCCACGCCCACTTCCGTTCCTCCACTTTCTCTTAGGAGGGAGGCGGGGGCTGAGGGTGTTAAAGAGTAGCGACTTCCTCCTACTCCTCGCCCCCGCCCCTCTACCCCCTGCTACAACGTCTTCCGGGTCGCGAGAGCCTCGAAGCCTTCTGGGAAACCGTCTCATTTCCTCCCCTCCCCCTCCTCCTGCCTTCAACCAACCAGCCTCCCGTCAGAGAGGGACATGCGCAGTGAGTGCCTCCCGTCTCTTCTACCCGAACCCCCCCTCCCCCCCAAAGCAGAGAGACCCCAGCAGCAGCAGCAGCTGATGATGAAGAGAGAGGCAGTGGCAGAGGGGGGGCACCTTTTATTTCTATTTTTAAAGGGACAGGACACTAATTTTACCCCACTTCAACCTTGAATTGAGGGGGGTGGGGGGAAGGCGGCTGAGTTCCTTCCCCCACCCTCCAGCCCTGAGACCTGAGAGGGGGATTGAGCCTGAGAGAGAAGGAGAAGGAGTTTCTTCTTCTTCAAAACCCCCATCCACGACTCCTACCCCTTCACCCCTCCAGTAGCCTCCCTCCCGAGCCCCCTCCACCCTCCTCCTCTTTGGCCGTGAGAGGAGGAGAGAAAGAGACCAAAAGCCTCTTAGCAACACAGACCCTTCTCTGCTGCTGTTGCTGCTGTTGCTGCTGCTGCTGCTGCTGCTACTGCTGCTGCTGGCTTGGCCCTGGCTGGAGACATCTCACTACACCCAGGAGCAGCCACTTCCCCAGCTCTCCTCCTCCTGCGCCTCCTCCTCCTCCTCCACTCCCCCCCTTTATTACCCTTTGTGTCATCCTCCACAGCTCCAGGGAAGGCACTCAAAAGTGGGGGGCAGGAAAGGTAAGTGTGTCTGTGGGGGCTTTATTGCCTTCCTCTGGCTCTGACTTTAACTCCGGGGCAACAGTAGCACCAAACCGTGTACGCAGTGTAGCTCCGGGGTGAGGAGGGGGTGGTGCTGGGGGGGGAGTGTAGGAGGGGTTGGAGTGGGGAGGGGTGTGTGAGGTGGGTGCCCATCCTGTCAGAGGAGGAAGGGCACTTTTGTTTTTATTTGCTGTTGTCAAAAGTGGTTTCTCTCCTTTAGCTAACATCTGATTGTGTCTTGCTCCAGTGGGGGAGAATACAAAAACAACCCCCTCCTTCTTCCAGTGAGGCGCCAGGGAAAGAGACAGAAAGAGGCACACTTTGTAGATGTCACTTAAAAAAATTCATTTGGAGAGCTATTTTCCTATTTCCCCAGGAAAAGCTCCACTGCATTTGTTTCTGAGTGGGAAAATGTCGGGATCTGGATTGTATTGGAGCTTGCTTATCCATTCGTAGACCTGAGTGTATTCCCCTTTTTGGTTCTGTGTGTGGTTTGGATATTGACTTCAGTGTTGGAACAGACTTGTTTGGTTTTTGCTTTCTGGGTTAAATTTTCCAATTTTCGTTTTGTCTGATCTGCACAGAAAATTTCAAAATTGTAGTTGATAGAGGCCTTTGGTTAGGTTTTGACTTGTATTATTGCTTTTTTTGTTAAATGTTTGTTTCATATATCAGCATATAAAGTTCAAAGCTTAAAATGCTTAAAGTTTACCAGTGGTGGTATCTCTCCCAACATACATTCCTAATATTTTCCATAAGATGAGAATGTTAGCTATTTCGTAGTTAATCTGGGTATTTTTCTAATCTTTGTAACTTGTATGAACAAGTAATCCCCATTGAAAACTTTATGTTGTTCTGGCTTCATGGAAGGCCAAACCTCTCCATCAATAGTTTGCTGGATTGGTACCACTTTCAGTTTTAACTGAATTATTTATTTACTGTTGTAAATTGAGACGAGTTTTTCATCTCTTGGGGTACTGAACCAAATTGCTCACTATATGTGAAGGGAGGCAGATTTCTAAAATATGTTTTCATGACTCAAAGAAATCATGAAGTTGTAGTTAGTATATTCATTGCAGTTAGATATAGATTGAAAGATGAATCCGGATTTAGGTTTACAGAGTAACAATCTTGATAAAAATCACTATTCTCCCATTTTTACATGGTATGTTCTTAGTGAATGGCTTTCAAATTCAGTGCTGCATTTTATTTCACAAATGCTAGAACGTATATTTCTGATGTAGGCCTTTTATTAGGTCTTACATTGGAGAGTGGTATTTTGTTTCATACATATATTTCTTTATGCTTTCCTTGAAGATGGATGCAACACATTCATATACACTCACACTCATTCTCTCTCTCTCTCACACACACACACCCTTTTTTGTTACTGCATTGGTATCTCTGATCCCATAATTTATGTCAGCAAAAAATATTTTTCTGTAAAGCAGCAATTTTGTGATCAGACTGGCAATATGAAAACAGCAATTTGATCAACTAGAAAGGGTTGAAGAAAAATCTAGAAGGATGTTTGACATAAATATTATAAAGATATGATAATACTTTTAATTTTTTATTATCTTGATGTTAGAGCCAAAACATAATGCACTTATATTTTTGTGGCAGAAAAGCATTGCATATGTAGAAATTGGTTCTGTAAAATTTTAATTATCAACTGTGTGCAAAAGCAGACATTTACACACAGTAAAAAAAAAAAAAAAAAGCTGTGTAGCAGTAAACAATATGGTCTTATTTCTCTCATTTCTGTTATAAATTTGAACAGTTTCTTACCTTTCTCTGAGGTGTAAATTGTGCACTTAAGCAGAAATATGTGCCAAGTTCAAGTTTTTCTTCCAACATCAATACTGTTTCAGGTCCACCTAGGTTTTCTTGTTCTCCCGTTAATACCTCAGCAACCTTAACATAAGAGATAGAATGTAGAACTTAGTGATGAAATCATTTTTAAGTAAAGCGACTTGTGTGGATAATCAGGGTGGTAGTGCCCAGGTGAGTGAAAAATATACATCTTGAGCATAATTCCTTTACTTACTTTATTTCTGTTTTCCCTTGAAAATATTCCTTATTCTACATGACCCCAGGGTTCCCCTATGTGGTTTGAAGATTCCATACTTCTTCTAAGTTGAATAATTATTTACATTTAGAAAACCTTTCATTTTTATTTTGTATTATATTTTAGGTATCAGATATATTTTAGGATTGTAATGTTCAGCAAGGTGATATCTTGGAGGTCACTTTATCCAACTTTTCATTTTTTCACATTGCTGAAGTTTAAGAGCTTGAGGAACTTGCCCAGGGTTCCAAGGCCTATAAGTGGGCAGAGCATGGACCAGAGAACTCAGGTCTCTTGACATTCACTCTGCTACAGTACCTCATTTTCTGGTAGCTCAGTTGCTTAGAGTGTCCTCCCAGTACTCCAAGGTTGCTGATTGGATCCCCAGTAAGGTCACATACAAGAATCAACCAATGAATGCATAAATAAGTGGAACAACAAAATCACAAAGTCGATGTTTCTCTCCCTGTCTGTTTCTCTCCCTTCCTTTCTCTCTCTAAAATCAATAAATAAAAATTTGGGGAAAAAGAAAAGAAATGAAACTATAATCACAATTCTGAGTATAGCATTTAAGGGTTTTATATGGAGGCGTATTCTTCTAATTTTGCCCATTTACAATTGAGTGATTTGATTTTTTGAAAAAGGTGGATTATTACTGTTTTGAGAACTATATCAGTTTCCCCTAATGCTTATTTTTCTCCCTGCAATTCCAATTAATCAGTAAATATCATTCTTACTCTTGTGTTAAGGACCCATATATATAAGAGGAATGCATATTGCATTATAAATGTTTACTTGTGAGTCTTGCTCTATGAATTACCTAGGACTAAAGATTTTTGTCTTGTTACCATTTATATCCCTTACAGCACAGTGTCTGGTGCACAGTAGGCCCTACTGGTTGTTTGTCATAATTGATATTAGAGTTGAGCATATTTTATTTTCTTTGTTCCCATATGTGGGATTCCTTCCCTTTCCTCCTTTTTCCTTTCCTCCTTACTGTCTTTCTTCAGTACCATGATTTTTTTTTTTTAATCTTTACTGTGGCTCTCACTTTTTCTAATGGCCAAATTAAATCCTGTTAACAATGTAGAACTCATAATAATTAAAAACATATTCCCTCTAATTCTTGTACAGGATGCAATTTGACAAAAGTGATTTATTTAAAATAAGGGATAATCAAAATTTTTCAATTAAAAATATATTAGCAAATGTTCAGGATACACTTAAATTTCATTTCACTGAGTGACTGATACAGTAGGTTGTCGGAATAATTAGGTGGCTTTTACCAGCTCTATAAAGCAACTGTTACTTAGGTGACATGTTTCCCTGACTTTGTTTTTTTGGTCCTTACCCAGACAATTATCAACTTTCCAGTTTTCTATGGATATGAAGATTTACTCCTAGTCATCAGTGGGACCCAGTGAAGTCAGCCAGAAAACCTATGTCCAACTTATGTACCTTTGCAAACTTGTCTGGATTTTGAATGTATGTGCAAAACAGATTGTACTTAGCTATTATTCATTAAACATCGCTTGAGTATCTACTGTCTGTCAGGCACTGTGCTAGGCATCTGAGAAGTAAGGGTGGTCCCTACAGTTAATGTGAACAGATATCATAATTGTATTCCAGAAGTGTATTGGTCATAACTTTATTTTGATGTTCTACCTAAATAAAAATTTTATTAACTAAATGGATACTGTTAGGTGGAAAAAATGCATGTTTAAGAAGAATATTGCTGTATTTTATTAAAATAGAAAAATATAAAGTAAAATTTTCCACTTAATACTGTATTCTGGGGATTTCTATTCTGTATATAATCCACTAATTTTAGACCATGAAAATAGTTTATGTGGCTATCATTGCTAGTATTTTATTGTTACATACTTTTATTTGAAGATGACCAGCACTGTTCCTTGAAGTATCTCTTATTAAATTATTACCCCCTAAAAAAGTCACACTTTCCCATCTTAAACTTTTTTTTCTCAAAAGTAACTTTTTTTTTATGTCTTATATAATAGGTTATCTTTATCTTTCATGGTTAGTTGAAAGACACTGTGCGTTATCATTTTGAGCACTTAGTTATTTTCTATCATAGTTTAAGCTGACAGTATGATTTAATTATCATGGAGTAATTATAGTATACACCATTTAGGAGTTTTGGAATTTTTAATGGATACTAGATATATTCCTCCAAGAACCTCATAAGACACTTCCCAGTTCTTGTTCTAAATTAGTTGCAATTTTTAATCTTTATTATGTGATATTGTTTCTGTAACTTTAATAAAATGAGTTGGAAGTTTCTTAGCTGATGGATGTTTCAAAAACAAAGAATACTGTCTTGGTTCTTGTCTTGGCTTTCATATGTAATTTACAAATATAGTAGAGAGAAAGAGATTTCCCGGATTTCCTTTGGCCTCTTAAGTATACCTTTTAGAATAATACTGATTCACAATTTAAAACGAGGAGGAGGCCCGGCCGGGCGTGGCTCGGCGTTTGAGCGTGGACCTAGGATCCAGGTGATCGGGGTTCGATTAGTCATCGTGGTTCGATTCCCGGTCGGGGCACATGCCCGGGTTGCGGGCTCGATCAATGACTCTCTCATCATTGATGTTTCTCTCTCTCTCTCTCCCCTTTCCTCTCTCTGAAGTCAATAAAGATATATTTAAAAAAAAAAAAAAAAAAGGAGGAGGAGATCCCCTGCTGATACAGTATCTTGTTAAGGTAAAAAAACTTATGAGAGTCAATTCTGATCTCTTTCACATTCATTCTTAATTTTCTATCTTAGTAATAATCATAGTTACCATTTATTATAAGTGCTTAGCACTGTGATAAACATACCAATCCCAGTCAGTCCTTACAGTGGTCCTGGTAAACTTTGTAACCTACTACTGACAAAACAGCATTCAAC